TAGTAATAGTAATAATATGACAACAGCCCTCCATCGCTGACATAATCCAGCCTAAGACAGTATTAAAGAATCTCAGGCTATTAAACAATGCACAGATTAATACTATTATTAATATAATAATTATAATATTATATTATAATATTAATCTTGGGTTATCAACCAATGCACAGGTTATTATTATTAATATAATAATAAACTATTATCTTGGGTTATTAACCAATGAACATTAATACTATTAATATAATAATAATAATAATAATAATAATACCATCTTGGGTTATTAACCAATGAACATTAATACTATTAATATAATAATAATAATACTATTATCTTGGGTTATTAACCAATGCACAGGTTAATATTATTATTAATATAAGAATATTATAATATTAATCTTGGGTTATTAACCAATGCACATTAATACTATAATAAGAATAAGAATACTATTAGTATTAATATAATAATAATAAAAATATTATAATATTCGTTTGGGTTATTAACCAATGCACAAGTTAATATTATTAATATAATAATAGTAATAATAATAATATATTATAATATTTGGGTTGTTAACCAATGCACAGGCTAATGCTATTATTAATATAATAATATTATATTATAAAATTAGTTTAGGTTATTAACCAATGCACAGGCTAATGCTGTTATTAATATAATAATAATATAATATTAATCTTGGGTTATTAACCAATGCACATTAATACTATAATAATAAGAATACTATTAGTATTAATATAATAATAATAAAATATTATAATATTAGTTTGGGTTATTAACCAATGCACAGGCTAATGCTATTATTAATATAATAATAATATTATAATAATATATTATAAAATTAGTTTAGGTTATTAAGCAATGGACAGGTTAATGCTGTTATTAATATAATAATAATATAATATTAATCTTGGGTTATTAACCAATGCACATTAATACTATAATAATAAAATATATTATAATATTCGTTTGGGTTATTAACCAATGCACAAGTTAATATTATTAATATAATAATAGTAATAATAATAATATATTATAATATTTGGGTTGTTAACCAATGCACAGGCTAATGCTATTATTAATATAATAATATTATATTATAAAATTAGTTTAGGTTATTAACCAATGCACAGGCTAATGCTATTATTAATATAATAATAATATTATAATATATTATAAAATTAGTTTAGGTTATTAAGCAATGGACAGGTTAATGCTGTTATTAATATAATAATAATATAATATATTACAATATTATCTTGGGTTATCAACCAATGCACAGGTTAATGCTATTATTAATACAATAATAATATAATAATATATTATAATATTAGTTTGGGTTATTAACCAATGCACAGGTTATCCCAGGCATGGGCCAACTTGGGCCCTCCTTCCAGGTGTTTTGGACTACAACTCCCACAATTCCGTAGGCTGTTAGGAATTGTGGGAGTTGTAGTCCAAAACACCTGGAGGGAGGGCCCAAGTTGGCCCATGCCTGGGTTATCCCCAAAAAGAGGAACCCTAAATCCGTAAGTGGATCTCGGAGGCTGCAGAAATGTTACTCTTTTGGACTACAAGTCCCAGAATGCTGCAGAAAAGATGGCTGCTGGGTGGGGAATTTGCAGAGTTGGAGATGGGAAAACACAACCAGGGAGTGTTCCCAATGGCGAAACAGCGCCCCCCGCCCTCTACGCTGGACAGAAGGGGTACTGCAGCTTCAAATGGGAACACATTGGAGAAATAATTAATAATAATAATAATAATAATAATAATAATAATAATAATATGGATTTGTATTTCTGAAAGCACCAAAGCCAATGCGATAGATTTGCAAGCCTAAAAATATATGCAAGCATTAAACTGGAACTAAACATAATTTAAAAAGAAACCGTGAAAACCAATATCCAAAAAAGTAGAGAATAATAACAATGATTATGATAAACAACAAGGCAGCAGGAGATGATGGGATCCCAGCTGAACTGTTTAAAATCTTAAAAGATGATGCTGTCAAGGTGATGCATGCCATTTGCCAGCAAATATGGAAAACACAAGAATGGCCATCAGACTGGAAAAAATCAACTTATATCCCCATACCAAAAAAGGGAAATGCGAAAGACTGCTCCAACTTCCGTACAGTGGCCCTTATTTCTCATGCCAGTAAGGTAATGCTCAAGATCCTGCAAGGAAGACTCCAGCAATACATGGAGCGAGAGTTGCCAGATGTTCAAGCTGGGTTTAGAAAAGGCAGAGGAACGAGAGACCAGATTGCCAATATCCGGATGCTGGAGAATGGAGAAAGGCAGGGAGTTTCAGAAAAACATCTCCTTCTGCTTCATTGACTCTTCTAAAGCCTTTGACTGTGTGGATCATAATAAATTGTGGCAAGTTCTTGGTGGGATGGGCATCCCAAGCCCCCTTCCCTCTCTCCTGAGGAATCTGTCCAAGGACCAAGTAGCAACAGTCAGAACTGACCACGGAACAGGAGACGGGTTCAAGATTGGGAAAGGCGTCCGGCAAGGCTGCATCCTCTCACCCAACCTTTTCAACTTGTATGCAGAACACATCATGTGAGGATGTGCGGGGCTGGATGAATGCAAAGCTGGGGTGAAAATTGCTGGAAGAAACATTAACAACCTCAGATATGCAGATGACACCACTCTGATGGCCGAAAGCGAGGAGGAGCTGAGGAGCCTTCTAATCAAGGTGAAAGAAGAAAGCGCAAAAGCCGGGTTGCAGCTAAACGTCAAAAAAACCAAGATTATGGCAACAAGAATGATTGACAACTGGAAAATAGAGGGAGAAACCGTGGAGGCCGTGACAGACTTTGTATTTCTAGGTGTAAAGATTACTGCAGGCGCAGACTGTGGCCAGGAAATGAGAAGACGCTTCCTTCTTGGGAGGAGAGCAAGGTCCAGTCTCGATAAAATAGTAAAGAGTAGAGACATCAGACTGGCAACCAAGATCCCTTGCCTAGTCAAAGCCATGGTCTTCCCTGGAGTCACCTACGGATGTGAGAGCTGGACCTGAGGGAAGGCTGAGCGAAGGAAGAGAGGTGCTTTTGAGCTGTGGTGTTGGAGGAAAGTGCTGAGAGTGCCTTGGACTGCGAGAAGATCCAACCAGTCCATCCTCCAGGAAATAAAGCCCGGCTTCTCACTGGAGGGAAAGATACTAGAGACAAAGTGGAAGTCCTTTGAATGCCACATCATGAGGAGACAGGAAAGCCTAGAGAAGACAATGATGCTGGGGAAAGGGGAAGGCAAAAGGAAGAGGGGCCGACCAAGGGCAAGATGGATGGATGGCATCCTTGAAGGGACTGGACTGACCTTGAGGGAGCTGGGGGTGGTAACGGCCGACAGGGAGCTCTGCCGTGGACTGGTCCATGAGGTCACGAAGAGTCGGAGACGACTGAACGAATGAACAACAACAACATGATAAATAATAATAATAGAAAACCAGGGAATAATAATAATAATGTAATCATAAAAAGCAGAGAATAATGATTATGATAATTAATAATCATAGAAAACCAGGGAATAGTAATAATAGAAAAAGCAGGAAATAATCGTAATAGTAATAATAATAATAATAATAATAGAAAAGCAGAGAATAATAATAATAATGTAATAATAATGCAGGGAATAATGATAATAATAATGATATAATAATAACAGAAAAAATAGGGAATAATAAATATTTTTTGTGTCAGAGCAACGTAATAATAATAATAATAATGTAATAATAAGACGAAGCAGGAAAACTAGGGAATAATAATAATAATAGAAAAAGCAGGAAATAATAGTAATAATAATAATAATAATAGAAAAGCAGAGAATAATAATAATAATGTAATAATAATGCAGGGAATAATGATAATAATAATATAATAACAGAAAAAACAGGGAATAATAAATATTTTTTGTGTCAGAACAATGTAATAATAATAATAATAATAATAATAATAATAATAATAATGTAATAATAAGAAGCAGGGAATGATTATGATAATAAATAGAAAAATAGGGAATAATAATAATAATAGAAAAAGCAGAAAATAATAGTAATAATAGCAATAGAAAAGCAGGGAGCAATAATAATAATAATAATAATAATACAATAATGCAGGGAATGATAATGATAATAATGATATAATAATAACAGAAAAAAACAGGGAATAATAAATATTTTTTGTGTCAGGAACAATGTAATAATAATAATAATAATGTAAGAAGAAGAAGCAGGGAATGATTATGATAATAAATAACAATAGAAAACCAGGGAATAATAATAACAATAATAACAGAAAAAGAAGGAAATAATACTAATAATAATAGAAAAGTAGGGAGCAATAATAATAATAATAATAATGCAGGGAATGATGATAATAAAAATGATATAATAATAACAGAAAAAACAGGGAATAATAAAAAATTTTTGTGTATCAGGAGCAACGTAATAATAATAATAATAATAATAATGTAATAATATGAAGCAGGGAAGGATTATGATAATAAATAATAATAGAAAACCAGGGAATAATAATAACAATAATAACAGAAAAAGAAGGAAATAATACTAATAATAATAATAGAAAAGTAGGGAGCAATAATAATAATAATAATGTAATAATGCAGGGAAAGATAATAATGATATAATAACAGAAAAAAAAACATGGAATAATAAATAATATTTTTTTGTGTCAGGAACAATGTAATAATAATAATAATAATAATAATAATAATAATAATAAGTATCACTCGAAGCCACCCCCAGTTTTGGAACATTTTCAGTGTTGGCGTTGTTGCTTTTCCCCAAAGGGAGTCCTTGGAGATGGGACCCAAGTCCAAAGCAAAAGGGGTCACACTCTCTCAGCCACCCAGGAAAGCCATTTTGGAGTATTGTGGGGGTTCCGGACAGGGCGTGTTGTTGAGCTTGTAGTGAGCCAGGAAGCAGACTTTTCCCCCCATTGACACAAACAAGACCAGAGCGGCAAACAATCCAAAGCTTTATTGTGAGTGAAACAACCTCTTGAGTGCGAACGGGGCGTCATTTTGCAGCCAGAGAAAGGTTGGGCGGGTTGCTTGCTTGCTTGGGGCAAAAGGATGGGGGACAGAACTGGAAATGGACCCCTTTTTTGGGGGGAGGGGGGTAAGAAACGTTGGACCCAGTGCATAGTCATCACACCCCACCCCTTCGATATATATTTCAATTTGCATTTCACTATTTATACATAAGTACGACTTTAAAAAAAACATTTGGACTACAGCTCCCATAAAACTAGATTCTGAGTGTCGTCATCCCGACCTCTTCCCGTTCCTGCTTCTGTTTACACTGTGGAATTAATGTGGTATTTATGTGGCATTAGCTCCACAGTATATAGAGCAGGAATGGGCCAACTTTGGGCCTCCCTTCAGGTGTTTTGGACTCCAAGTCCCACAATTTCTAAAAGCAGGGACCGTGGAACCAAGACCGCGGATACGGAGGGCCCATTTGGGCCCTCCGTATCCGCGGTCTTTGTTCCACGGTCCTCCGTATCCGTGGTCTTGGGCCCTCCGTATCCACGGTGTTGGTTCCACGGTCCTCCGTATCCACGGTCTTGGGTCCTCCATATCCGCGGTGTTGGTTCCACGGTCCTCTGTATCCGTGGTCTTGGGCCCTCCGTATCCGTGGTCTTGGGCCCTCTGTATCCGCGGTCTTGAGTTCTCGGTATCCGCTGTTAGGAATTGTGGGACTCGGGAGTCCAAAACACCTGGAGAGAGGCATGCTTGGAATGCTTTGTGCTTGAGGTGGCCAACTTCCTCTGCATTTTGAGGCTCCTGTGCAGTATACCTTTCATATAGCGGGGGGGAAAATCTCCCACTCTCTGTATTTAAGGCGCAGGAGCCTGAAACGGGGGGGAAGCTGGCGCTCCCCTTTTCATCCCTGATCCTTAGCAATAAGGCACTGCAATCTCCCCCCACTCACAACAATGGGGCTGGCGACAAAGCAAGGTTCCCCCAAAAGAGACCTCAAACGCCACGTGCTTGACTAGGTGAGGTGCTTCCTACAGCACAAAATGCAAGCTGCATTGCATGGGGGGGGGGGGGATACGGCGGCGACGTTGGAAGCAGCAAGGAAATCCGATGTCGGGGCGGAGGGGAGAGAGAGAGAGAGAGACCCCGCTTCCCGTCCGGAATGGCTCCTTCCAGGGCGCAAAATGGAATGAGGCCCCCTTAAAGAGGGTCCGCGCGTAGACCCGATTCCAGGGAAGGGGAGACTGGCCTGGGGTCCCGGGACGGAGCGCCAATCCCATCGTCCTCGGTAGCGGGAGCAGCGGCGGCTACAGCTTGCTCTGGGCAAATTGGAGCAGGGCCTCCATCTGGGCCTCCAGGGCGAGGGGGTCTCCCTCGTTGGACAGGACCCAGTCGAAGGTCAGGCCCTGGTCCAGGCCGCACTCCGACTCCGCGTCATCGATCCCTGGAGAGGAGAGGAGAGGAGGGAAGGGGCGGTCAGCACATGGAGCGTCCACTGCAGATGCCACAGGCTGCGTCCAGGTTACACACAAAGCGCTCTTCATTACCTATCAAGCCCTAAACCAGGGTTTCCGAACCTTTTATTGTCCAGGGACCGTTCTGACCAGAGACCACCATGTAAACACACACATAAATAATAATAATAATAATAACAACAATAATGTGTGTTTACATAGCGTGCATCTATGATAACAACATGTGTCTACATGGGGTGCATCTATGATAATATCAACAATGTGGGGTGCATCTATGGTAACAATAATAATGTGTGTTTACATAGAGTGCATCTATGACAACAACAACAACAATGTGGGGTGCATCTATGATAATAATAATACTGATAGTAATAATAATAATAATGTGTGTTTACATAGAGTGCATCTATGATAACAACAACAACAACAATGTGGGGTGCATCTATGATAACAACAATGTGTGTCTACATGGGTGCATCTATGATAATAATAATGATGATAATAATAATAATGTGTGTTTACATAGAGTGCATCTATGATAACAACAACAACAACAACGTGTGTCTAAATGGGGTACATCTATGATAACAAGAATAATGATAATAGTAACAATAATAATAATGTGTGTTTACATAGAGTGCATCTATGATAACAACAATGTGTGTCTACATGGGGTGCATCTATGATAACAAGAATAATGATAATAATAATAATAATAATGTGTGTTTAACACAGAGTGCATCTATGATAACAACAACGTGTATCTACATGGAGTGCATCTACGATAACAATAATGATAATAATAATGTGCGTTTAAATAGAGTGCATCTATGATAACAACAACAACAATGTGTGTCTACATAGGGTGCATCTATGATAACAAGAATAATGATAATAGTAACAATAATAGTAATAATAATAATAATGTGTGTTTACATAGAGTGCATCTATGATAACAACAATGTGTGATGATAACAAAAATAATGATAATAGTAACAATAATAATAATAATGTGTGTTTACATAGTGTGCATCTATGATAACAATAACAATAATAATAATGTGTGTTTACATAGCATGCATCTATGATAACAACAACAACAACAACAACAACAACGTGTGTCTACATGGGGTGCATCTATGATAACAAGAATAATAATGATAATAATAATAATGTGTGTTTACATAGAGTGCATCTACGATAACAACAACAACAATGTGTGTCTACATGGGGTGCATCTATGATAATAATGATAATAATAATAATAATGTGTTTACATAGCGTGCATCTATGATAACAACAACAAGAACGTGTATCTACATAGGGTGCATCTATGATAACAATAATAATGATAATAATAATAATGTGCGTTTACATGGAGTGCATCTATGATAACAATAATAATAATAATAAGTTTTTACATAGAGTGCATCTATGATAACAACAACACCAACAACAACGACAATAATAACGTGTGTCTATGTAGGGTGCACCTATGATAACAACAACAATAATATGTGCCTACAAGGGGTGCATAATAATAATAATAATAATAATAATAATAATAACAACATGTGTGATGATAACAGTAATCCCGCTGGGTTGTTTTGTTTTGTGGGGTGCCTCACCCGGGACAAAGACCCAGTCCCGCCTCCTCCGCGTCTCCTCCGTGGCCACGACCCGCACCACTTGCACCAGGTCCCCATAGACGTCCCGGAACCACTCCACGTCCGAGAGGCGCCTCGTGTCGCTGACCACCTGCGCGGACAGAGAGAGAGAGAGAGGGTGAACAGTTAACAGTCATCATACATTTATTATTATTATTATTATTATTATTATTATTATTATTATTATTATTATTATTATTCTAGTGAAGCACGTGGGGAATTTCAACAGAAAGGAGGAAACCACGACAATGAACACAATCTTGGCTTCAAATAAACAAGGGTGCTTCCTCCCACCCTGGACATTATTCCATCCACAGGGAGAGAGAGAGAGAGAGAGAGAGAGAGAGAGAGAGAGAGAGAGATATTTACACACACGCACACACACTCCACTCACTTGACACACATCAGTTTTTATGAAGATGCCATTTCACAGATGCAGGTGAAACATCAGGAGAGAATGCTGCTGGAACAGGGCCAGACAGCCCGGAAAACTCACAGCAACCTAGTGAGTCCAGCCATGGAGGCGGGATATATATTTATACACACACACACACTCCACTCACTTGACACACATCGGTTTTTATGAAGATGCCATTAGCCACAGATGCAGGTGAAACGTCAGGAGAGAATGCTGCTGGAACAGGGCCAGACAGCCCGCAAAACTCACAGCAACCTAGTGAGTCCAGCCATGAAGGCAGGATATATATTTATACACACATACACACACACACACACACACACACACACACTTATCTCTAGGATACATACGTACACACACGCGCGCATATATATGTGTGTGTGATGCCTCACCCAGATGGGCTGTGTGGCCTCCCCCACCACGATGCGGCAGAAGAAGCCGGGGTCTGTCCGGCGGCGCTCCTCTCCCCACCGGATCATGTCCTGCCGGTAGGTCTCCTTGTAGTCCGTGGCGTCCAGGAGGCGCTGGAAGTCCAGGCCGTGCTCCTGGAAACAACAGAATAGAATAATAATCTATCTATCTATCTATCTCTATCTATACATATAATAAAAGTCAAAGTTTTTATGCGGCGGTGCGACCGGGTATGTGCCAGCTTTCTGATTGGCTGCCACTGTGGTGCTATTTGCATATGGTCTCTGATTGGCCAGCTGCAACAGGAACCCCCGGTGGAGAAAAGGGTTCATGAGGGTTGACCATAGATGATGGGACTTGTAGTACCATCACTCACATTCTGAGACCGCTGTTGACCTCATCCAATGACTGATCAGGACCAAACTTGGCACATAGACCTCTCCTGACCCACTTTACGTCCTGGTGTGGTTTGGCCGGGGATGGATTATGGGACTTGCAGTACCTTTGCTCAGTTCTTGAGACCACTGCAACCCTCATCCAATTACCGATAAAGACCAAACTTGGCATACTGAGTCTCCATGACGCACTCTACATCCTGGTGCGGTTTGGAGGAGGATGCACCATGGACGATGGGACTTTCAATACCTGCACTCCCTTCCTAAGACCATTACAACTGCCAACAATGATGGATCAGGACCACAATTTACACAGAGAGCCCGCATAACCCACTCTACATCCTGGTGCGGTTTGGAAGAATTTGACAATGGATGATGGGACTTGCAGTCACTTCACTCACAAGACCAAACTTAGCACACAGAGCCCCCATGACCCACTCTCCATCCTGCTGCAGTTTGAAGGAGGGTGGACCATGGATGATGGGACTTCAAGTTCCTTCACTCACTTCCTGAAAACAATGCAACCGTCATCCAATGACCAATAAAGACCAAACTTGGCATACAGAACCGCCATTACCCACTTTCTCTAATAACCCGGGCAGCGCCGGGTCCCCAAGCTAGTATAACATAAAAATAAAACTGTATTTATATACCTTCCTATCTCCCCTGGGGGACTCTGAGCGGTTACCATATATGCAAAATAATACAAAAACATAAAGCGAAAACATAGGCATAAACTGTTAACACAACATATACATTAAAATTAATTTAAAACCAGATCCACTCTCTTCTTCGTGCAAGGTGATAATAATAAATACAACAATAATAAAAATATGAAATTGTAATAGCACTATGTAACACTATGATTTGTGTTCCTGAGTTATCAATGCCATTCCATAATGGGTTCTATCATAATAACATGAGGAAAGTTTACTCAACTGCAAAATAATAAACATGATTTATAATAATAAATAAGAATATATTATTATTATTATTATTATTACTACAATATTCCCTCACTTATTGCAGGGTTACGTTCCAGGACCACCTGTGATAAGTGAAAAACCGTGATATAGGGACTATATATATATATATATATATATATATATATATATGAAATTCCTTGCCCGACTTACTTACTTGCCCTCTCCTGTGTATTATTGTTATTGTTATTATTATTATTATTGTGTATTATTATCATAATTGTTATTATTCTAGTGTATTCCTGTGTATTATTGTTGTTGTTCTTGTTATTATTATTACTATTATTATTATTGTGTATTATCATCACTGTTATTATTCTAGTGTGGCTTGGGACATAATACTCCTGCCTTCTCCTGTGTATTATTGTTATTGTTATTATTATTATTGTGTATTATTATCATCATTGTGATTATTCTAGTGTGGCTTGGGACATAATACTCCTGCCTTCTCCTGTGCATTATTATTATTATTATTATTATTATTATTATTATTAAGTATTATTATCATCATTGTGATTATTCTAGTGTGGCTTGGGACATAATAGACTCCTGCTTTCTCCTGTGTATTATTATGATTATTATTATTATTATTGTGATTATTCTAGTGTGGCTTGGGACATGATCCTTCTGCTTTCTCCTGTGTAGCAGTATTCTTCCCATGGCTGATGGCTCTCCCTTACCTTGGCGTACTGCTCCTTGAGGGGCCCGGAGAGGCGGAGGATGGCGCAGACATCAGGCCCCAACCTGGAGGGAAGAGAACACAGTCAACCACAACAACAACCATCACCAACACCACAGCAGCGCCCTCTGCACATGCTCAGAGACGCCTCCTCCTCCTGGCTTGGGAAGGCAGCCTTTGCCTCTTTATAATAATACTAGCTGTCCCCTGCCAGGCGTTGCTGTGGCCCAGTCTGTTGATCTGGAAAATAAAGTAATGAGAGAGTGTGGGTTTCTAATATATGTAATGTCTTTCTGCTTGTGGGTCAACAGTATTTCTTGCTGTTTCTTTGTCAGTGTTGATGTGGAGAGTGTCTGTCTGGTTTGCCCACTCTAGAACATGCAACATATCATTGTCCTTCTTCAGGGGTCCCTTTCACATCTAGGATACTATATCTCTGTGTGCATGAATCATATCTATCTATCTATATCTCTGGCTGGATGGCTCTTTGTCAGGAGGGCTTTGATTACGTTTTCTTGCCCTGGTGAAGGGAGTTGGACTGGATGGCCTTAAGTATTTTCTGATGGTCACGGGGGTTCTGTGTGGGAAGTTTGCCCCAATTCTGTCATTGGTAGGGTTCAGAATGCTCTTTGATTCTAGGTGTACTATAAATCCCAGCAACTACAACTCCCAAATGTCAAGGTCTATTTCCCCCAAACTCCACCAGTGTTCACATTTGGGCATATTGAGTATTCGTGCCAAGTTTGGTCCAGATCCATCATTGTTTGAGTCCACAGTTCTCTCTGGATATAGGTGAACTACAGCTCCCAAACTCAAGGTCAGTGCCCACCAAACCCTTCCAGTGTGTTCTGTTGGTCATGGAAGTCCTGCATGCCATGTTTGGTTGAAGTCCATCATTGGTGGAGTTCAGAATGCTCTTGGATTGTAGGTGAACTATACATCCCAGCAACTACAACTCTTTAATGACAAAATCATTTTTTTTTTGAGTGAAGGACAAATCCTTCCTTTCTTCGCTCTTTGCTTTCATCCTTCCTTCCTTCTCTTTCCTTCTCTACCTCCTTCCTTCCTTTCCTTTTTTTCTTTCTTTGTCTCCTTCCTTCCTTCTCTATCTTTCTTTCCTTTCCTCTTTCCTTTCCCTTCCACTTTCTTCCCTCCTTTGCTCTTTGCTTTCATCCTTCCTTCTTTCTCTCCTTCCTTCACTCCATTTTTCCTTCGTTTCCTTTTTTGTCTCCTTCCTTCCTTCTCTACCTCTTTCTTCCTTACTTCGCTCTTTGCTTTCATCCTTCCTTCTCGCTTTCCTTCGCTCCCTCCTTCCTTCCTTTCCTTTCTTTCTTTGTCTCCTTCCTTCCTTCTCTACATCTTTCTTCCTTACTTCGCTCTTTGCTTTCATCCTTCCTTCTCTCTTTCCTTCGCTCCCTCCTTCCTTCCTTTCCTTTCTTTCTTTGTCTCCTTCCTTCCTTCTCTACCTCTTTCTTTCCTTCCACTTTCTTTCCTTCCTTCACTCTTTGCTTTCATCCTTCCTTCTTTCCTTCCCTCCCCTTTTCCTTCCTTCTCTTTGCTTCCATGCTTCCTTCTCCCTTTCCTTCTTTCTTTCCCTCCCTCTTTCTTCCTTTTTTCTGTATTGTCATTTACCTTTTGGGGGGCTTTTTAAGTCCCTTCTGCTGTGTTTTCCAGTGTTTTTCTTGAGTGAAGGGCATACATGGGGATGTTAGGTGTCTGTCTTGTTGTGTTTGTATGACTGCTGGTCACTCGTTGGCCTGAGAGGTGCCTTGTGTCCCCATTTGGGGTCCATTCCCCCAGTGGTTTTTGAGTTCTGCTAATCCCACAAACAAACATCACATTCTTATTTAGATAGATTAGTTATATAATATTATATGTTCGTGAGTTTGAATGTTTATATGGATAGGTTGTGTATTAATATGGATAGGTTGTGTTTATATGCATAGGTTGTGTGCTAATGGGTTCAAGCCAGGCCTGGGCCTACTTGGGCTTTGCCTCACTCCTTTCAGGGGGTTTGGACTCCAACTCCCATCCTTCCTCACAGCCTCAGGCCCGCTTAGGCGGCTGAGGGGGAAAAGGAAGGGGCCTGAGGCTGTGAGGAAGGATGGGAGTTGGAGTCCAAAAGCCCAGAAGGGAAGGCCCAAGCTGGCCTGTGGAATGGTGGGAGTTGGAGTCAAACTAGGCCCCAAAGTAGGCCTCAAACTAGGCCCAATCCTCCCACCGCCCGGGACTCACCGGCTCTGGATCTCCTCGGCCACGAAGTCCTTCCCGGACTTCCTCTTCCCGCTGAAGAGAAGCACCAGCCTGGGCGTGCGGGCCATCTTGAGCCGGGAAACAAGCTCTCTCCTTCCCCCCCTTCCGCCCGAATGGTTTCGCCCGCGATGCAGCTTCCGCCTCGGGCACTTCCGGGTAGGCGGGAGAAACCATTCTGGAAAAGAGGGGAGAGCGCGGACAGCGACGCCTAGCGGAGGCCGGGAAAGGCCCGGAGGAGGCGGGGCCAACGCAAGCCACGCCCCTCTCTACTGGGAAAGGAAGCGAGGACTCCACTCTCCTCCCCCCTTCCGAGGGAATGGTTTCGCCCGGGACGCGGCCTTCGCTGGGAAGACGGGCGAAACCATTTCGAAAAGGAGGGGAGTACACAGTGACTCCAAGTGGTTGGAAAGACCACTCTCCTCCCCCCTTCCGAGGGAATGGTTTCGCCCGGTATGCGGCCTTCGCTGGGAAGGCGGGAGAAACCATTCCGAAAAGGAGGGGGGACTCCAAGTGGTTGGAAAGTGTTTAATGGTGCGGTCCTGACTTGGAAAGCAGCTGTTTCACTCCAGGAACTTTGTTTAGAGTGCTATTATAATGTATTATTATTATTATTTTGCAATTTAATAAATTGCAAAGTAATAAAGTATTACATATTGCAATTCTAATTAAATTATTATTATTATTATTATTATTATTATTATTATTATTATTATATTGCAGTTTAATAAACTTTCCCCATGTCTTGATTATAGAACCAATTCAGGAAATATCATATATATAATATTAGTTATATAATGTTATTTGTTTGTTATTTTGAATATATACAATATTCCCCGGAACAAAAACTGTGTTATATTATAATTATATAATTAATTATATGATATACAATAATACAATTATAATATAAAATATAATATATACAATTATAATATACAATAATAGCTTTATTTATATTCTGCCCAATCTCTCTGAGCTATATAATTGTATTTCTATAATATATACAATTATAACATAATATAATAAATACAATGATATAATAACAATGTAATAATTACAATAATAATAATAATATAATAATTGTAATAATATAATAATATAATAAACACAAAAATATAATACAATAAATAGAATATAATAAATACAATTTTATAATAATATAATAAATACAATGATAATATAATAAATACAATTTTATAATAATATAATACAATTACAATATAATATTTGTAATAATATATCAATATAATAAACACAAGAATAATATAATACGATAAATAGAATTATAATAAAATAAAATATATCCAATTTTATAATAATATAATAAATACACTCCATGCAGTCATGCCAGTCACATGACCGACCTAGGAGGTGTCTATGGACAACGCTGGCTCTACAGCTTAGAAATGGAGATGAGCACCAGAGTCCCAGAGTCGGACACGACTGGACTTAATGTCAGGGGACTACCTTTACCTTACCTTATAATAAATGCAATTATAATATAATAAATACAATTACAATAAATGCAATTTTATAATAATATAAGTTACAATAATAATATAATAATTGTAATAATATAATAATAAACACAAAAATAATATAATACAATAAATAGAGCTATATTATAATAAAATATATACAACTTTAAAATAATATAATAGCATAATAAATATAATATTAACATAATAATATAATATACACAATTGTAATATACCAATATAATATATGCAATTATACTGAGTCGCCTTCGGGCTGAAATGGGCAGGATAGAAATAATGCAAATAAATAAATATTATAATAATGTAATGTAATGTAATGTGCTGCAGTGGGATGTCCCGCCGTCAAAGACAAAGTTTTGGCAGTTGAGTACATTTTCCCCATGTTTTTTTTAACGAATGAGCCAATTAGGAAATGACATTTCTAACCCAGGAACAAAAAACGTGTTGTATAGTGTAATATATATTTTACAATACACGTATATTGTGTAAGGGTTTGGTTTCACCTAGGAAAACCGCATGACCGTGTTGGGAAAGGATGCCGGTCTCAAAAGCGGGGGAAGCTTAGGAATCTCTGTCCTAGGAGGGATCGACCTCTGAAAATGGAAGAAATGCAACAAGAAAGGCGCTTTGTGGGGAGCGGCTCCCACTCAGGTTCCCACTCCATGGGTGCTTTTTATTGTTTTCTGGGCACAAACTCAGGCAGGAAATGGGGAAGGAGTGGCCGGAGGAGGGTCCAAGTGGCTAGGAGTGTGGACGCAGGGCAGGGTTGCTTTCCTCTGCAAAGACATTGCGCAGTCTCTCATTCTCCCAATCCATTCTGAATCAGTGATGGCCAAAGGCCCGGCTGGTGTTCTCCCGACCGTTTCTGCGCCCGGCCCCCTCGCGGCCACGATCCTTCCCCGGTGGGTGATGGCCGCTGCTGCGCGGGGTCACTCTGCGCAAGAGGAGAGAAGAGGAAAGGCCCGGCACGGGATCAGCGTGAGGTGTGGAAGCCTGGGAAACTACACAAGGCGATGAAGGAAAACATGAGGAAGGGGGCATCGAGTATGGGCCTAATGGAACATCCCCATTCAGTGGATACGGGGGTCATATAGTATGGGCCTCATGGAACATCCCCATTCAGTGGATACGGGGTCATATAGTATTGGCCTAATGGAACATCCCCATTCAGTGGATACGGGGGTCATATAGTATGGGCCTCATGGAACATCCCCATTCAGTGGATACGGGGGTCATATAGTATTGGCCTAATGGAACATCCCCATTCAGTGGATACGGGGGTCATATAGTATGGGCCTAATGGAACATCCCCATTCAGTGGATATGGGGGTCATAGAGTATGGGCCTGTGCAGAAGTTATTAATACTTGGCATGTTTTAAACTGCATATATATATGTGTGTGTGTGTGTTTGGGTTAGCTACAGTAACACTGGAGCAGGACATTTCAGAGATCCTCAGTCCGCGTTACCATGGAGACCAAGGCAAGCTGGCAGAAGGAGGAGTGGGAGGAGCCAAGTGGAGAGAGTTTTGAAAACAGACAGTTGGAGAGTCAGTTGGGAGTTGGTTTTGTATCTGAGAGGAGTGAAAGAGTGGAAGTGAAGAGTAGAGTGGGAGAGGGAAGTGTGAAGCAAAGAATTGTGGCTTTGGGAAGTCTGAATAGCTACTAGAGGTTTCTCAGTCTAAGGAGGCTGAAAGGAGAAACATAGCCAGTTTTCTTTAGTCAAGGGAAAGGCTAAAGGATAAGCTTGTTAATTTATTTGATCAAGGAAAGATCAAATAGGGAAGATAGTCCTGTACTGAAACATTGTTATTAATAAGAGCTTGACCTCAGTGAGATACTGTGTAACCTGGAAGAGTGAAATGTTTAACTAATCAAGTGTTATTCAAAGTTCTATAAATTAAGTTACAACTTGTAACCACACGCTTTGTTCTCCATAAACCAGTTATCTTTTGTTGGAGACAGTCTCGTCTCCATCCATTCTGCGTCTGTATTGCCATATCTCACAGTAATACCTCATATCTCATGTTGGTGGCAGTTACCATAGATTACATATAACAATTGGCCTCCACTATATCAGTTGGTGGCAGAATTCAGGGAAATAAACAATAAATCACCCTCTACTCTCCTGTCACACGACAGCAGCGTGTGCTTTTTCGTCCACTCTGAACACCTCCTCGCAGGGCCTAATGGAACATCCCCATTCAGTGGATACGGGGGTCATATAGTATTGGCCTGATGGAACATCCCCATTCAGTGCATAAGAGGGTCATGGTGTGCTGGCTGAACCAAACACTCCCGTTCCATGAAACACCCCGGTGTTCCCCCCTCCCCTCTGACGCTGGCCCCGCGTCCCCCCAGGCGAGGCCCCGCTGCTGCTGACCTTCCCAGGTGGCGCAGGACGGTCTCCTCGAAGTCGTCGGCCTGGTCTTCGTGCCCACCGAGGGCTTGGGCCAGCTCCTCCAGGGCGTCCTCGGCCTCGTCCAGGAACTCCCGGAAGCGGAGCCGGTCGTGGGCGAAGAGCCCGTCGGAGCCGAAGAAGCCCTGCGTGGCCCCCGCCAGCCCCGCCAGGTGCCGCCCCCACCCGCGCCCGGAGAGGAAGCCCTGGGCCGCCCGCAGGAAGGCCGCCTGGGGCACCGGGGCCAGGCCCTCCTTGCGGGCGCACTCGGCCACCCCGCTGCACCCCCGGGGGGCCCCGAAGGGCTGCGCGGCCAGCGCCTGCCACAGGGCGGGGGGCTCCCGCGGGGGCGGCCGGGTCTTCTTGCCCTCCTTCTTGCCCGGGGGGGGCTTCTTCCTGCCCGCCTCCTTGCCCCGCTTCTCCTTGCCCCGCTTGGCCTTGGGAAGGGGCCCCTCCTCTTGGGCCCCCCCTCCCAAGGCCCGGGACACCTTCCGCTGCAGCGCGCTCAGCTCGGGCCGCGGGTCACCTTGCGCAGCCTTGGCCAGGTCGTGCCCCAGAGACTCCAGCACGGAGCGCAGGCGGCGCGCTTCCCCTTCCGCGGGCTCCGGCTTGGGTTGGGGGCCCGGCACCGGACCCGCTTCGGCCTGGGCCCCTCGGAGGAGCCGGACCTCGTCCCGGGCGGCCAGCAGCGAGGAGGACTCCCGCCGCAGCGCTTCCTTCAGGCGGGCGTTCTCGGCCGCCAGGCTCTGCTGCTGCCAAGTGGACGCCTGCGCCTCGCCCTCCGTCTTGCGCAGAAGCGCCTGCAGCTCTTCCTTCTGGGCCTGGCCGGGGAGAGGGGCACGGGGTCAGGCAGGGGCACCCTCAAAGCCCTCCCGACAGATGGCCCCCCAGCCTCTGCTCCAGAACTCCAGAGAAGGAGGCACAGAGAGACTCCTAGAGATGAGCAGAGATGACCCCCAAAGGAGGCCATTCCGTCCTTCCGCCAAGCAGAGAGGCACCATCCAAGCCCTCCCGACAGATGGCCCTCCAGCCTCTGCTCCAGAACTCCAGAGAAGGAGACACAGAGAGAATCCTAGAGATGAGCAGGACCCCCAAAGGAGGCCATTCCGTCCTTCCGCCAAGCAGAGAGGCACCATCCAAGCCCTCCCGACAGATGGCCCCCCAGCCTCTGCTCCAGAACTCCAGAGAAGGAGACACAGAGAGAATCCTAGAGATGAGCAGGACCCCCAAAGAAGGCCATTCCGTCCTTCCGCCAAGCAGAGAGGCACCACCCAAGCCCTCCCGACAGATGGCCCTCCAGCCTCTGCTTAAAGAAGGAGATTAGAGTTGGAAGAGACACCAAGGGCCACCCTGTCCAATCCATAACAGACAGATAGACATATTCCTAGAGTTGGACAGGAACCCCAAGAAGGCCATCTAGTCCAACCCATAATATAGATAGATAGATAGATAGATAGATAGATAGATAGATAAGTAGATAAATAAGCAGATAGTTAAATAGAATGCTAGGGTTGGATGGGACCCCCCCCCCCCCAAATGGCCACCCAGTCCAACCCATAATAGATAGATAGACAGACAGACAGATAGATAGATAAGTAGATAGATAAGTACATAAATAAGTAGATAGACAGATTAGTACATAGATAAATAGAACCCATAATAGATAGATAGATCGATCGATCAATAGATAGATAGATACATAAGCATATAGATAGAAAGATAAGTACATAGATAAATAGAACCCATGATAGATAGATAGATAGATAAGCAGATAGATAGACAGATTAGTACATAGATAAATAGAACCCATAATAGATAGATAGATCGATCGATCAATAGATAGATAGATACATAAGCATATAGATAGAAAGATAAGTACATAGATAAATAGAACCCATGATAGATAGATAGATAGATAAGCAGATAGATAGACAGATTAGTACATAGATAAATAGAACCCATAATAGATAGATAGATAGATAGATCGATCGATAGATAGATAGATAGATAGATAGATAGATAGATAGATAGATCGATAGATAAGCAGATGGACAGACAGATAAGTACATAGATAAATAGAATCTGAGGGCTGGATGGGACCCCCAAAAAGGGCCTTCCAGTCCTTCTGCCAGACAGGAAAAGCA